AGGGGGGGGGGGGGAGGGGGTAATATTAGTTTTTGAGAATTTTGAACTTAATTTTTTTTTCTTGCTCCATCTCAGGGGGAGTCTATACTACAACTTCAAATTTCTACATGTAGTTAAGGTCTTGGGGAGACTAGTTTCTGCCAAAGTCGATAAATATTCCTACCAATAACAAGGTACAAAAAAAATACACCATTATTAAACTATTTTAGAATTTAAGTGTCTTATTCTTTGAATTTGAAACATATTTTTATTAGTGGTTAAAGAAGGTAAACTATTAATCATTTTTAATTTTTCTTCATTTTTTTTCTTTAGTAACTAAATTACCATTTAGTTCCTTACTTAGTAAAATGTTATCATAGTAATTCTTAATGTTAAAAATAAAAAATAAATTTCTTACTTTTTTATTATCCTTAACTTTTTAATTTATTGTCATTTTAGTCATCCACATATACAAATATACACTCCTAAACTTTTACTATCATTATCATTTCAATTCAATATGAACCAAAATGCCTAATAAAATAAAAAGTGAGAGATTTATTTGCTACATTTTTAATGTAAAAAATTATTATCATAGTGTCTCAAGAAATAGAGGACTAAATTGATACTTTACTTTTTTCCTTTTATTTTTAATAAATTAGAAGGAAAAAAGAATGAATATGGTGATGCCAACTCATATCTCAATCATTAATGTAACAAAATTTTCTTTTATATTAAATAATAAATAGAAAATTTGACATAAACATTTTTTCTTAGTATAAACTAAATCATATATACTTTATCAAAGATAATCCTATTTGAGTCAGACAAAATTATTATAGACGACAAAATTCTCCTTCAAATACTTACTAGCCTCTAAACTTTTTATTTATTTATTGTAAATCTATTCTCTATAGTTTTAAAAATTAAGTAATATTAATCTACCATATCATTAAAAAATTAGACAAAAAATATAAATATGTCTATAGATATATTACCTGATAATAAGTGAATCATGTAATAAAATAATAATATTAAAATTTATTTTAATAAATTATAAATTTTATTGAATAAAAAATAAAATATAACATATATGTAATAAAAAGTAATATTTAACATGAAAGTTAACATGATTAAGTTACTTTCAGGTGATATCATTCACAAACACATTAATATTTTTTTTATTTAATTTTAAATAATAAATTAATAAATGAACCAACATCACTTAACTTTAAAAATTAGAAAGGATAAGTTTATAATAAAAATCTTTGAGAGATCAAAATTACTAATTTGTGAAACTATATAAACTAAAAGTTTATTTAAGGCTATAAATTTATAATTTACATTTAATTAATTATTTACGGTGTAGTGACACTGACAGTACCTGTATAGTGTATATATAAAGGATAGGCGAGTTTGTGATAAGCCCAATGAAAATGGGTAGGACAGAGGTGGCTTCTTTATCCTAGTTGAGTAGTAAACTTCACTGCAGAGTGTGAGGAAAGGGGAGAGAGAGAGAGAGAGAAAGAGAGTGTTCCGCATGTTGCTTTGGTTGGATGGCTGAGACATGATTTCAACTTCAAGCAGTAGCATGGCTTCTTTACTTCCCAAAACGGCACCGCATCTCCTCCCATTCGCAAACCCTTATTCGCCCCTCATCTTACCTTTCCGCTTCCACTCTTTCCCTCGCCCTCCTCTCTCCGCCCTCAGAGCCATTTCTTCCGATGCCGATAATTTGCGCGCCAAGCCCCTCGTTTCTCACGCCTTTGAAGACAACAACGACGACGACGACAAATGGGTTGACTGGGAGGACCAGATTCTGGAGGACACCGTTCCCCTCGTTGGCTTCGTCAGGATGCTTCTCCATTCTGGACAGTGTGTCTCTCTAACCAAAACCTTTGCTTTTTCATGTCTCTTGCCCATTTTGCATTGCTGCTTCTGATAATACCTTTCCAGATATGAAAATGGAGATAGACTAAGTCCAGAGCACGAGAAAACCATTCTTGAGAAGCTGCTTCCCTTTCATCCAGAGTCTCAGAAAAAGATTGGATGTGGAGTTGATTATATCACGGTATCTCTTTCTCGCTTTTTCCTTCTCTCATTCATACACACACATTATGTGCACTACTTTTGATGGCACAAGCCTTTCCCAGTATTTTACATTTTCTTCGGTTGGGTCCAACAATTATAATTTTTTTTAGGTTTAGGAGTCTGTTATATATATGGTCATGACATCAGTTGTTGCCTGCTGCAAATATATCACCTTTCGTCCATTATAAAATTAAAATGGCTTTGCTAGATGGTGGGTGTTGGAAATCCAACTTAATTGTTGTCACCACTAGCGTACCTTAATTGTGACCTCTTTGGGATGCCTTCATTGCAGCCTCCAGCACCTTCATTGTACTGGGTCTGAGGAGGTGTGTTTAGTTCCACATCCTAGTGATATGGCCTAAGTAGTGCTTACAAATGTTTTGATAATTGTCATCTTACTCGTCGATTTTATGGAATTAAGGTAGGTCCCAAGCCCAAATTCTAATAGGATTTGTTTTTTTAAGTGTACGATACAATAGGGCAAGTTGGTAGCTAATTATGACTGATGAGGAAGTGAAGGAATTAATTTTGTTAATTCCTAGAGTGCCATATGATTGCTGTTTTATGAAAATTTATGGCGATAATTTGTTCACCTAGAGTTAGGGGAAATTATGACAGTTATGTGTAGAAAATGACTAATGGTAGTTATTTATTTGGAGTATATGAGCCTATTTCGGTAAATTTCTCCATAAACACTTTTAGGAGAGAAACAAAGGAAGAAAAAAATGAAGCTTCTTCATAGTTAAAATTAGCTTATACATAAGCTAATTTATAGAAATTCTCTCCTATTAGCTTTTTCAAAATTTTGTTTTTAACTTATGCATAAGCTAGTTTTAGCTATTTATTCTCCCCTAGAAGTGCTTTTGGATAAGTTTATCCAAACAAACCCTATATCTTATTGTAGGTTGTGTAATTAGATAATGTGAAGTTATTTGTAATTTGTGGACAGAGAATACCCTGTAGGAAACATTTGTCTCTGGGACAACAAGTTTATTGTTGTATTGTATGTGATAGGAGACTTTTGTCTATGGGACAACAATTGTATAGTTTCATAGTGTGTGATTTCAGTGACCAATTAAGAGTAAGATCATGATGTGTTTGTCAAAGAGGTTGGATGAATTGGAAGAAAAAGTAGAAGGAGTGGGAGCTAGACTTGAGGCTCAGGTAGGGCTTAGTTTGGACAAGAATTCAACAATTTTTGAGAAGATTTTTTTGGAGATGAGAAAACTAATGGACAAGTCTGTAGAGGAGGATAAAGTATCAAATTCAACCAATCATGTGTTGAGAGAAATGGTAAATGCAATGAACATTTCCTTGTGTATTGCAAAACAAAAGATATGTTTATATACAAAGTAGTGGGCCTAGGCCCATGTGATCAAACTATATCTAACACTCCCCCTCAAGCTAGTGTATATAGATCATATGCACCAAGCTTATTACAAATATAATCAATCCTAGTACCTCGTAATGATTTGGTGAAGACATCTGCCAACTAATTAGTAGAGTTAACAAACTGAGTAGTAATGTCTCCAGAGTCCAGATAAAATCTTCTTACGAATGAAGTGACAATCTATTTTAATGTGTTTGGTCCTCTCGTGAAATACTGGATTTGGGGCAATATGAAGGGCAACTTGGTTATCACATATGAGAGTTATCTGTGTAACTTCGCCAAATCTCAATTCTTTAAGCAACTGTTTGAGCCAAATAAGCTCACAAGTAGCAGAGGCCATAGCACGATATTCTGCTTATGCACTAGATCTTGCCACTACATTCTGCTTCTTACTTTTCTAGGAAATCAAGTTATCACCAATAAAGATACAATAACTTGAGGTGGATCTCTTGCCGGAGGGAGAGCTTGCCTAATCTGCATTTGAGTACCCCACAACTTGAGTATGATTGTTGTAGTCATATATAATAAACCTTTTCCTGGAGCACCTTTGATATACTTTAGAATGCGGATGACTGCATTCCAATGTCCTGCATATGGAGAATTGAGATATTGACTCAATACACTAACCGTAAAGGATATGTCAGGACGAGTTACGTGAGATAATTTGATTTCCCAACCAATTTTTTGTACCTCTCAGGGTCTGAGAAAGGCTCCCCTTGACTTGGTAGAAGTTTAGCATTGGGATCCATAGGTGTATCGATGGGCTTGGAACTCATTAGTCCAGTTTCCTCTAAAATATCCAATGCATACTTTCTTTGAGATATTACAATTCCATTTTTAGATTGTGCTACCTCAATCCCCAAAAAATATCTAAGTTTACCAAGGTTTTTCATCTGAAAGTGAAGACAAAGATGTTGTTTTATCTGAGAAATGTCATGATGGTCACTGCTGGTAAGAACAATATCATCAACATATACTATCAAGTAGATGCACCCAGCAGTGGAATGTTGATAAAAAACAGAATGATCAACTTCACTTCGAGTCATACCAAACTGTTTGACTATGGTACTAAATCGACCAAACCATGCCCTTGGAGACTGCTTAAGACCATAAAGTGATTTGTGGAGACGATATACCAAACTGGAAGACTCCCCCTGAGCAACAAACTCAGGAGGTTGCTCCATATAAATTTCCTCTAGCAAATCCCTATGAAGAAAGACATTTTTATAACATCCAGTTGATAGAGAGGCCAACGGCGAAGAGCAGCCATGGCTAAGTATAATTTGACAGAGGCCATCTTGGCAACGAGGGAGAAAGTGTCACCATAGTCTAATCCAATAATTTGAGTATAACCTTTGGCGACCAAACAAGCTTTGAGTCGATCAATGGTGCCATCAGGGCCAACCTTGACCGTAAAGATCCATCGACATCCAACCACAAACTTCTCAGGAGGCAAAGAAACAAGATCCCAAGTACCATTATTCTGAAGAGCACATAGTCATCGATCATGGCTTGTCTCCAACAAGGGTGGGCTAAGGCACCACCTACAGTTTTAGGAATAGACATAAAGGAAATAGAAGAGAGACAAGTATATTGGGATGGGGATAACCTGTGATAACTCAGAGTAATATAATGAGGGGAAGGATTACGAGTAGAACGATTACCTTTCCGGAGGGCAATAGGGAGGTCTAACTCAAGTGGTTGAGCCGGAGGGGACGAAGGTGGTGGCACTAGAGTAGAGTCGGTAGGGGGCCCAATGGGAAGGCGAGAGTGTTGCCGACGATGATAAACTTGAAGTGGAGGCGACGGTGGTGGGTTGACGGCAACAATGAAGAAAAATGCCGGAAAACAAAGAAAAAAAATTGTCAGAAAGAGGCACGGGGAGGTGGGTAGCCGGAAAACGGAATGAGACACGTTTTCCGGGCATCGATGAACAGTGGGTCCACTGAAAAGTCAAGGATTAGGCTCTAGATACTATGTTAAGAGAAATGGTAAATGCAATGAACATTTCCTTGTGTATTGCAAAACAAAAGATATGTTTATATACAAAGTAGTGGGCCTAGGCCCATGTGATCAAAATATATCTAACAATGACATAAATGAGTACCGTATGGCAGTTAAGGAAGTGGAATTGCCATCTCTCAATGGAGATGACTCTATTGGGTGGATTACTAGGGAATAAACTTAATTTGAAGTTCAGAATATTAGTGAAGACGTGAAGAATAAATGAGCAAAGTTAAGCATGGAGGGTGTTTTCTACTATTCATTGGTTTAATCTATTGAGAGAAACAAGAGATCAAGTTGAAAAGGGGAATGGTGACATTATTTGGGGGGCAGCTGTATGAAAATTCTTTCCAAGAATTGTCCAAGTTGAAAAAAGAGGGATCAATGGAGTTTATAAAAGCATTTGAGTTTCTCTCGTTGCAAGTTAATTGTTTACCCAAAGATTAATATTTAGGTTATTTTTTTGGTTAAGTTGCAACTTGAAATTAAGCATTGGGTGCAAACATTTCAACCAAAAACAAGAACTCAACTATTGCATTATGCACACAATATAGAGGCATAAATTTCAAATCTGCTTGCGGTTGTGGATAGTTACAGGTGGCAAAATGGTGTTAATAGTTTCAACACTACAGAGAGGACATTGAAGCACAACTTAGGAGGAAGAAATTTGGGATCTATCACTGTTGTTTCAAGTTCTGTAACTGCTTCTAAAGGGAGAAGCAATTGGGATGGTGGAAATAATTTGAGTTAATGGAAGTTATGACAATGTGTAGAAAATAACTGTTTTAGAAACCAGTTTTATATTAAAAAGTCCAGGATGACTGTTATGAACCAAGAAGTAGGAGTGGGAAATAAAAGGTAGATTTAATTGAATAAGACGCAAAGAACAAGGAATAGGAGAAATCTCCCCTCCAAAGGGTTTCTCCTTTACAAGAGCTAAAGCTCAATTTACAAAATGATACCCGATATGTTCCTCCTGTTCCCCTTGCACATAGAGGACTCTAATTCGTAATATTGGTAACATATTTCCTAATTGGGTAGTTTTTACACCACCCGATTTGTTAATAACTGAACATAAGTAATCTCTTCTGTCTCTCAGCCTCTAATACTGACAAGTTCTTTCAGGATCTTCATCCTGAAGTTGTATTCATTTCTCTCTTTCTAGTAGGTCAATTAAAATAGTGTTCCAAATTCAACTACTTTGCTCAATCTAGTTTTCATTCCATGAGTTATCACATGATAAGTGCATTAGTATTGACCAAAACTGATCCAATTGACCAAATCCAATTTTAAAACTACTTTAAAATCAGTTTGAAATGAGTTTTGGTGCAAAAATCAGATTTAGAATTAGCTTTGGTTAAAAACTGTATTGAGACCAGAACCAGTTCAAAGCTAATTTAAAACCAGTTTCAACTTTCCAAACCAGTTTTGAAATATAAAAGTATTTCAGTTTTGAAATCTAATTCATATGACTGGTTAAAAATTGGATGTGAACTGGTTTTAACTTTTACATCATATCAAACCTTGCACATCCCTAACTAGCCAAGTATGGCTTTTGGTCTTGGTTTTACCATCTGTGTGGTAAATTTATTCCTGTATTAGCAGCTGAAAAGAAGGTAAAATTCCACTTCTCCCTTGCTAAGCTAGAGAAAGCATAGTGCATCTGTTGCCTTCTGCTCTGTAACTGTCTTCAATTTCTTTCCAACATTAGGTTTTGAAAACACACTAATAAAAATCATTAGATTATGCATTTGCCACACTCATTGTCTCTAGCGTTGAATTCTATTCAATCTGTTTTTCTTGGGATTGACTGTAACTGAAACACTATCTTTACAAGTTGCTGAAAAAATTATTGTTCTCTTTTCTATGGCAGATTGGGTATCATCCTGATTTTGAACGCTCTAGGTGCTTGTTCATAGTACGACAAGATGGAGAGATGGTTGATTTTTCATATTGGAAATGCATAAAAGGCTTGATCAGAAAGAACTATCCATTATATGCAGACAGTTTCATTCTCAGACATTTCAGGAAGAAGAGTCGTAATATGTGAAGCTAGCACTGTCTTTTGCTGGTTGGACCGTTTCCTAAATTTCTCTTCTTTTTTAATCCCATTTCATTTTTCGTGTTTTATTATTGCTAGTAGCATGCTATTTTGAAGGTTTGAGAAAAAAAGAATACAAAAACTTTTGATGTTCAGAAGAGTGATTAGCATTTAAGGACTCACTACAAAATATTGCCATCAATGCTGAAAATTGAGCCCATTTCATTATTGACAATATTCGTAGTGCTATAAAAATATGGGAATGTAGATTATGTATATAGATTCTGATGATAATGTATCTTTCAGTTCAAATATTTTTTCAATTTCAAGATTTGAAATTTATTTTATACCGCTATTGTTTTGACATTTAGGGAGAGGTATTATCCTATTTTAATTTCAAAATACTATAATATTCAATGATGAGTTATGGTGTTATTTAGGAGTTGCATATTTGGAGAAGAGTAATTATAAATATACCAACAAGGTTGGTCAAATAGGTAAAAACAAATCGTACTCATATTGTAAAATCGTGAGTTTAATTCATGTTAAGTGCTCTACCAATGTGAGGAGTTTAACTCACTTTTAAACATCTTTAATGTTTGAATTGACAATTACCGGTGAAATTTGTTGAAGATGCTATCTTTTAAAGGAAAACAACTCATAAGAGAGGGGACGAAATTCTGACGTTTTGTAAAGTAGGAATTCACATTATCTTAACATGGATATTTTCCAAGTTTTTGGTATCATGGCATCCTGTTTACTTTTTTATTTATCGTTCTTTGAAATTAAAATTTGTACTACTTCAGTTCCATCTTATAAATGTGTAAAATTACTTTTCACAAATTATGATAATTGTTTTTTTTTAGGAGTTACATACAAATTTTTTTTCATAAACCACAAGTATATTTCATTAAAATTAATTCTATCTGAACTAGTTAGAATTATGATAGACAGTAAAATTCTCCTTTTGAATATTTAAAATAAGTATATATCTTAAGATTTGAGCTCAGGATCACTGTTAATATGAGATAATTTAGTATCAGATTCACATGTTTAATAGTGCTATAAATATAATTTTTATTAAATGATAATGTAAAATAACTTACTCAATCTATTCATAAAATTAAAAAAAATGGTTAATGTAATTAGTTACATTAATTTGTTAAGAATTTGTATTATTATTTTTCTAGAATTATTTTGAAATTGTTAGAACTCATCATCTCTTTTTATTTAATTACTTTCATCTAATTAATTACTTTATATTTTTATTAATTGCAAAATTTAAAAATAATTAAAAGTATTTTAATTAAAAAATAATTAATATAAAATGACCTTTTGTTTTTTTTAGAGAGTCAAAATGACTTCTTATTAAAAGAGAAAACCAAATTTCTCAAGAAAATCTATATTGAGAATGAAAGTGTCACCTTATCATTGATTCTTAACTTTCAACGGCCACTTAGCATTTATACAATTAACAGAAACAGAGAGTGACAGTACTCATCTAATGTGCAAATGTTGACAAAGACGATAAATGGCAAGAACCAAATTTAATACTAATTCTGGTAAGGGTAACCAAATTTAGTTAATTATATTTCTAGAATTGTTTTTGAAATTAAATTTGGTTATAATACTTTATATATATATATATATATATAATTTCACTTATTTTTTTTCTTTTATCTCTATATTTATAATTTATATATATTTTTATTTTTATAATTATTTTTATTTTTTAACATTGTTTATGTTGTGTTGATGTAATAGAGATTTTCAATTTTAAAATATTAAAGAGTCACACAGTATTAAGAGATTTAATCTAGAGTTCAACAAAATATATTCATCATTGAATAGATAAGGTTAAATTAATACATATGTCAATAAAAAAGATAACGTTAAAAAGAATAATTATAAAGATTAAAAAATTGTAAATATAAGATTTAAAATATTTATATTAAATTATACAAGCTAAAAATATAAATATAAGGATTAAAAGAATTATTTTAAATTATAAAAATTAAAAAGTAAAGTAAGTAAAACGATAAAAAAAAGAGATAATTTTTAAGTTTTATTTGCTTAAATTTTTTAGCTAATTAATTAGATTATGTATGGACAAATTTTTCTACAAATAATTATAATAAAAAAGTTGAATTTCTTTTATTTAGCTTCTTCAATAACTAAGGTGTATAATGTAATTTAGCATAAAAACATTCTATATATTTTATTTTCTTAGCTTCTTTCATAAACACTTAAGAAAATTTTATCTGAAAGAAACAATTGTATACAATCAGTTGAAGATATTTTTGTTAAACAAATAATTAGTATAAGAATCGAATTTGAGATCTTATTGAAAACATATGATATAATGTACTGGAAAAAAAAAAAGTATTAGATGCAGAGCATTGAGATTGTATGTCGATTGTGCATGTGGCGCGCACTTACGGGCTCATGTGACGAGGCGTGTTGGTTGGACACGTGTGTGTGCTCCCATTTTGTTGGCCCAAATACAATAATATTACAAGGTTTTGGTGCCTTTCTGAAGTGGTAATGGAGAATGGACTACATTTGACAGTGCTTGTCTCCCTCTTCTCTTTGCAACACCTGTTCTTCTTCTTCTATTCTAATTATTTTTCCTTTTTCTCCATTGGTGCATAACTGCTGAGCTGTCCTAACAATTTTGGACCTTTCTAGAGTTGGTGCACAGAACTTGATGTACAATGCACACTCTTGCTTCCTTCACCAACAAAATAATATCATTTTATCATATGTGATATCAGATCATCTGGATCTGACATAACAAATGAATAGATTAACTACATGTTTGAAAAAAGTGTTTTCAACGTAAGAAACCACATCATTTGGTTAAATAATTTAGGGTATGTTGAATCCACATGTTTAGTTACTTTTTTTTTTTTTTAATTGAACGATAATTTTCAATCAAAGTAACATTGTTACTTTTGTGTTACATTATTTACTAAAAGAATATTTGATTGTCCAAGGTTAAAAAATAAAATATTTTATCAAATTCAGAAGTTCCAAAATATATTTAATAGATTAAGAAATAAAATTTACCCAACAAATTACCTATATTGTTTTTGCTTGTTCTTTATTTTTGGATTCTTATACCATTTAGAAGTTGTAAAAATATTTTGACATTATTTACAATTCAATTTTTAATATCACAATTATTTTTTTTATTAATAATAACAACGTATTATCAATTCAAATATATTTGAAAATAATGAAATAAATAATATTTATATCATATTATAAAATTCATTTTCATTTTAGTAATTAAATACTTAAAGTAATTTTAGTTGCTATCATTCAAACAAGTTTTTATTTCAATAAAAGAATACTTTTAAAATAAAGATATTTAAATATAAATTAAATTAAACTAAACTCTTTCTATTCATCTTAAATTTAATTTAACTTAGTTTTTCAACTCCAAACACACATGTACATACTTATAAGTTTGTTAGGCCAAAGTTAATAAGGTAGAACAAATTTATAATTTTGCTAGCGAAATTAATCAAAATTAATAAGGTAGTATAGTTAACTAGAGAACTATAAAATAATAATTTTTTAAAATATGTGTAGCATGTTTTTAAAAATTTATATATAGTCATTACAAGAAATGTTACATACAATGACATATAAAAAATGTCATTATAAGTAATATATATATATATATATATATATATATAGGA